GCAGAGAGCCCGATGTGGGACTCGATCCCGGGACTCCAGGATCATGACCTGAGCCGAAGGCAGTCGCTTAACCAACTGAGCCACCCAGGCGCCCTAATTGTCCATTTTCTACAACTCTTTTACCTGTCATCTGGAAAATTGGATTCTCTCCCCTAAATTAGCTTTGCTATTGGCTTAATAACAATCCTGGACTCCTGTTGATTTGTCTTCAGTACAAATCAGCTGACCCAGCTTGAAGGTGTTGCAGAAGACCAGTCCCACTGAAGGGACTGTCCAGGAGTGTGGGAAACATTTTGACCTTCAAAAGTCTAGAAACATCTATTGTCTTATTGATGGGCATCTTGTCAGTGCCTGTCCAAACTATTGGGCATATTGGGCAACTTCGGTAATTTTAGAGGATCAGGGACTTCATAAGATAGGACTGGAACCGGAGGGCTATGTCTAGAATCTTCCTCAGTGCCTTGGAGATAACACAATGAGCTTTGCTAAGACTAGGATTGAGATGGTGGAAAAAGATGGCAAATTTTAGTACGTCTTCAGAACTATGGGGCCTCAGAGCCTTCTCTTCTCCACCTGAGAAAAGAACTAACATTTTTTAAACGTCCACTGTCCTACTTAGTATGTAGTTTTGCACGAGTTTCCCAGAATTCTTCTGAGATAGATGGTATTATCATTACAGATAGAAAATAGATTAGAGAACCTGCCCACTAACACAGCTAGTAAGTGGGTTTCCACCCCCAGTCTGACAAACTGTTCTCCCACTATACAGTCTTATTATACAGCCCGGCAAGGCTGCTGTATTTACTGGGAGACATTAACGGCCAGAGCCGCCCTGCAGCACCACCTCTAAATCCAACCGCAAAGGAAAAAGAAAACACGGAAAAGGAGCTATTGTTTTCTGTTTTCCCAAGGGGACCCCAGCCCAAGCCATTGATGCAGTCAGAATTCTCAGGCAGGCCAGATTCAGGGTGACTATGAACCTTCTAACCTGTGTTATTTCCTACTGATTAAGATCATGTTTTTCATTGCCTTTGATTTGATTTTTTTTTTTTTTTTTAAGACCACAGCAGCCAAGTCTTTTTATAAAAACACAATCTAAGGCTTGGGTCCCAAAAGTTCATTATGTTTGTCCTGTCAGATTCTCTCCATGTTTCCTCTTCCATTTATTAGTAATGTAAACCTCACCCCATTTCTGCTCTGATCCTGGGACTGCCCAGCCTCCAGCCTTCCCAGCTGGGATGGCAACACATTTTTACAGGCAATGATGAGGGTCACAGTTTTTACAAAAACCTAAACACCTCAGACAAAACCAGCCTCCCCTCCAACCCCCTTCCCCAGTGGCTTATTAGAAACAAGTTGAAGTCAAAAGCACAAACAAACGTGCCTTTTTCAAATGTGCAGCCTCAAGGCAGATGAAATGGTCAGACGTTTACCTTTTAGGGTTGCCCTAGAAAGGGCTAACAAAAGGGGTGAAGCCCTGAAACAGCTGCTTGGGGAGGAGGACATCTGCCTCTCTTACCCACCATTCAGTGCTGCGGCCTTGCCTGGAAAAAAGCATGTGGGGCCGGGAAGCAATAGTTCTCAGAGGCAGCCAGTTGTTCTATGGCTTTTGTCTTAACGAAGCTGCCCGTGACTGTCAGAGCCATAACCCGCAGCAAGCCAGCTGTCAGGGCTGTGGCGCAGGCCCCTCTGGGTGGCCAGCAAGGGGAGACAGAAAGAGTGTCTGTGGCCAAATTCCCTTTTAGACACCTGAGCCTACTGGCTTTGTAACTGGAGAGATTTGTGTCCTCCCCACTCCCATCTTCCCTGGGGAGACACCGCCGGCCCTTTCTCTGGCCCTCCACCCTTGCAGAGACAGCAGGGACATCTCAGGATTTGGATTCCTTGGTTTGCAACTCCCTAAGTGTGAGGCTGGGCTGGGTTCTGCTGCGGTTGGCTGGCGTTTGGCGCTCTCATCTAGCGCTTCCCTTTGAAATCTACCCCCTCCTTTTTTTTTTTTTTTCTTTTCCGTTTTCTTTTTTTCCTTCTTTTTTTTTAAACCAGGTATGATGATGTCAAACGTGATGCTGATGCTACAGTTACAGACACAGCCCCTGCTGGCGCAGCCTCTCTGATTCTCTCTCCCTCTCCGCGTCCAGCGCTGGGCTTTTTCAGACAAGTGCATCTCCTAACCAGGTCACATTTCAGCCGCGACCCACTATCCGTCTGTCACCGGAGTCAGACCGCAGGAGGAGGGCGGAGGAAGACGACGGCGTTTGCTTCGCCAACCGCGGGGTGGGAAGAAGGACATTAAAATCCTGCAGAAGTCAAGACCACCCCCCACCCAGCTCCCGGTCGGACCCTGACCACGATGCGCGCCCCGGGCTGCGGGCGGCTGGTGCTGCCCCTGCTGCTCCTCGCCGCGGCCGCCCTGGCCGAAGGCGACGCCAAAGGGGTCAAGGAGGGCGAGACCCCCGGCAATTTCATGGAAGACGAGCAATGGCTGTCGTCCATCTCGCAGTACAGCGGCAAGATCAAGCACTGGAACCGCTTTCGAGACGTGAGTCTGCAGGGCCGCGAGGGCCAGGGGCGCGGGTTTGGGGAGGAAGGCTCGGAGCGGAGCCCCGGGCGCAGGGAGCGGTGGCGGCACGTCGCAGCCAGCCGCCCCGCAGCCCAGCCGGCTGACCGCACCGAGAGTAAACAACGCGCACCCACCCGCTCCCGCCAGCCGTCGCCGGCCCAGCTCGGCGCCCCCTCCTCGAAACCGCCCCCCCCAGGCCCGGGACCCCAAGCCCTAGAGCCGCCCCGGGCGAGTCCCGGGCAAGGAGTTGCTCCGGGGGCGCGCGCTCCAGACGCTGTCTCCACTGCAGGTCGGGCGCCGAGAGGGGCGCGGGATGCAAGTCGGGGTGCAGGGCGGGAGGGGTGGGGACCCTGGCTGCGGCTGAACCCCCGACCGGCTCCCCTCCTTTTTTGGTGGAAAAAAAAGAGGCCCCCCAGGCCTGCCCCCAGCCGGGTGGATGCTGCAGGCTCCACATACGGGGCACTGCAGAAGGGGCAGGTCTGGGTGCGGCCGGCCGGTAGGTAGCATCGTCTTGCGCGAGTGCCCTCTATTCCCACCTTGGGCTTTGGGGGAGGGAGGACAGAAGGGGACAGAGCCCTTGGCTGGGGCTTTGAGTTGGGGATGGGGGGAGGTGTCCTAGCAGTCCTCATTAGGCGACATGGTGAAAGGCGTGTCCATGATTGGGGGCAGGCGACGGCAGTGAAAATAGCTGAGGCCACCTCCGGGTGGCCACTAGAGCCAGGTCTGGGGTCCCCGTGCAGAGTGGCGCGAGATCATGGAGGTTGGTTTTCCAGGAGCAACCTTTAGTGGGGAGCCGGGCCTAGAGAAGGCAGAAGCTCCGATCCGGAGGAAAGACTCCGCAGCCCCGTGGGCTTGAAAAGCAGAGGGGAAAGCCCAGGAGCTGGGTCTGGGGTCCCTTTGGGGACGGGGACGCCTGCCCGAACCCTGGCTTAACCTTGGGCCGAACCTAGCCTGGTGGGGGTTGGGGAGGCGGCTGCGGACTAGCCGGGCTTGCTGCAGCACTTTGTTTACGAGCACCTGTAGATCAGAGGGGAAACCGGAGGCTGCGTTCCCAGAAGGGGGAAGTAGGAGCTGGCGTGGGGGGTGGGGGGGGCGGGTAGCAGAGGGCGTGGCTGGAACCCAGAGAAGGGGGCCGGGTGTGAGGTGGAGGATGGGCCCGGATGTGGATGCACCGGAGGAGAAGAAGGCTGGTCCTGGCCACCTAGTGCTCTCAGATGCCTGCCAGTTCCCAGAAAGCCTCTAATACGACCCCAATTCTCGTTTTTCATTTGCCAAGTTCCCTCATCAGGCCCACCTGGTACAACACTGGCCACACCGTGACCTTTCTCATCTTCTCTTAAATTGTGTGCATGCAGAAGTTCCTTAGAAATGTGTTTAGGGGCGCCTGGGTGGCTCAGTCGTTAAGCGTCTGCCTTCGGCTCAGGTCATGATCCCAGGGTCCTGGGATCGAGCCCCGCATCCGGCTCCCTGCTCAGCGGGGAGCCTGCTTCTCCCTCTCCCACTCTCCCTGCTTGTGTTCCTGCTGTCGCTGTGTCGCTGTCTCCGTCAAATAAATAAATAAAAACCTTTTAAAAAAAAAAGAAAGAAATGTGTTTAAAACGCACATACTTCATATGCTCACCAGCAAAATGATGGGAAAAGGCAGAGATATGGATCTTTTTGTTATCGTGAGACAAGTGACAGTTTCTCTTCAAAGTCTAACCGGTAGGTTGTAATTCATCAGAAAGGATCGCATGCAGCCAGGTCATCTGGGGCAGAGGGGCCTGGGCCCCAGTGTAGGCAGTTTGCCCCACCCACGGCTGGTCCCTGCAAGGGAGGCAGGAGTCCCTGCAAGGCCTTTTCTGAGGCCCCAGCAGGCCCAGCACAGATTAGCTGCAGTCTCCTGCCCCTGCCTGGGAAGCAGCCCCACCACAGCAGCGAGGGGGCGGCAGCAGGCTGGTCCATCCCAAATCCATGTGTCACCGGTCCAGGCCTCCCTCTGACTAGCCGGCTGTTTGATCTTCCAAAGTGGGACTGGTGAAGGTCAGAGGGAAAAGAAATGCTTATCAGAACAGTAAAGGTTTAAAAATAAAGATGCCTCCCCATCTCCCTTTCTCCACCTGCTTCCAATAGCCAACTCTGTAGGTGAGGATAAATAACTGACTGCTTGACCCCCTGGCACAAGGCTGCCCACCTGTCTCCCTGTATTGGTGCCAGCCATTTCCTCCTTCCTCCCATGCTCATCAGAAGAAAGGATAGGATTCACCCCATAGGATTCATGGAAAGCTTTAGGGTATGTATTAATTTGGGTGGCCTCAGGCTTTTATAGGGCAGATGTCCTCTAAAACCCCATTTAAGGTAGCCTTGGCTGCGGGAAGACAGGATCAGGGAGAGAGGAGGCCAGGGAAGGCTGGGCAGGAGGGTCTGGCTCTGGGGATCCATTGGCAGCTTCTGCAGAAGGGCAGGAGGCTGCTAGCTCAGAGCCACTGCATTGCACAACTCTAGAGGTGCCACAGTGTGATGGTGCCCCCTGGAGTTGTGCAGTGCTCACACTGTCTACAGGGACTCTGCCAATACTACAGACACTTCTCATCCCTCCTCTGTTAGTAGACGCCCCACTTTCTACTCTAAAGCCCGAAGGCCCTCTCGTTGGGCACAGAAGCAAGCATAGGGCTTTATATACATTTCATCAGGCTAGCTTTCTTGAAAATGTGTTCCTTGGATCCTCAAAGGGGAGACGGACGTCTTTTTGAACCTCTAAGGTGTTGCCAGGTTGTACCAGAACCTTGTTCATAAGCACAAAATGGCGCAGGCCCCCAGTTTGCCTGAGTAGAAGGGAGGCAAGAGGAGTGGAATGTTCTTGGGCATAGGATGGAGGAGTCAGTACTGTAGATTAGGGGCATGTCTCATTAAATGGTGCCGACTGAATTGAGGGGGGAAGATGGAGGGCATCATGTGGAAGAGGTCAGGAGGACAAAGAAGAAGAAAGCGTAGGCAGGTGCTCCAACCTGGAATTGGTCTGAGCTGGTTAGGGGGGGAGTTGAGTTTAGCATTCTTTCTCTGAGCGCTAGGATTATAGGGAGGCAGGATTTACCAGCAGAGTAATCCTCCCCTCCAGTGGGTGCAGGGTTGCGCATCCTGTGCTGGGGTAGATTTCCTCTAATGCCCAGTGCCTCGTGCCAAGGAGGAGAGAATTTCATGCCAGAGGAGAGGGGGAGGTTGTGATCTAGCTGTGCCCTCCCCTGGGCAGGCCTGGGCCTTTCAGAGGCCTGCTCCCCGGGGCTATTATCTCCGGCTTCACTCCCTGCAGAACCGGGTGGGACTTGACTGCTGGTCTTCGGAACAGAGCATCCAGGGCCTCGTAGATAGAGACGGACACGTGAGAGGAGCCAGGCCCATTACACAGCATTCTTCCGGGCAGGCTCCAAGAGCCGGGCGAGGCAGCACTGAATGTTCTTTTTCTTCTTGGCTCTTCTTCCCTACTTTGTACTCCACTTCCATTAAAATTTCATGAGATTGACGGGCGTCTCGCACGGTGCCTGGCCCCCAGGAGGCACGCAGTTAACGTACGTTGAATCACTGATTGCAGTGAGCGCTGGCTTACAGCTGGGGTCCCTGCAGTAAACACGTCCCTGCATCGTCTCTCGTGCCCCTCAACCACCCTATTTATCATTCGTCATGATCCATGCATTCCGCGGTTGAAGAAACGAAGGCGCAAAGAAGTTAAGTAACATACCGCAGGGCCAAATAGCTAGAAAGTGGCCGAACTGGGATTTGAATCCAGGTCATCTGGTTCAACTCTGCTTTTCAGGGCACTCGAGGCCTAACCCTTAGGGACAAATGGGAAGGAAGAGTCTACCCTGAAGAACAAAGTCTACCCCAGCTTGTGCCCTTGGAGCCTCAAGGTTGCCCTGGGCTGGAGCAGCACCTCTTAGGAAGGTGGGCCAAAGCCCTCAGTGTCTTCAGCAGCCCGCCACCAGCCTGCTCCCCACCCCTTACCCTAGCGACACCCCAAAGGCAGCTCTCTACCCAGGAGAGGCAGGAGTACCGTGTGCTGGGAGAGCCCTGGCCTGGGAGCTGGAAGGCCTGGGTGTGGGTTCAGGCTCTGCCACTGGCTGGCCACATGATGCCAGGGACGTTGCCTTCCCTCTCCGGCGGGCAAGGAGACCAAAACCGATGCATCAGCATGGAGGCCTTTCGTCACAGGGCTGGAGGGCATCCATTTCAGGCAGGACTCCCCAGCCCCAAGCCCCCACAGAAAGGTACCCGATGGACCATCATCTCTGGGGCTGGCCCCAACGCGCCTCAGTCTCCGTGAGAAAGACACTGATGTGTGTTCCCTCATTCCCTGCAGATCTGAGCATCTCCCCTGCACGAGGGGCTTCACCTTGATCCTGGGGCCTGGCCCGGGAGAGTAGTGCTTGCTGGCTACTCATGACTCTCAGATTTTTATGATCACCAAGTAAGCCAGTAACAAGGTTTAGCCACAAAGGGGCTCCCTTCTCCCCGCCCCTCCCCTGTCCCCATACCACACACCCAAACCAA